CACTCAATCCGTTCCGATCATTAAAACATTTATTTATTTATTTATGTATTTTGGTGTAAATTGCTAACTCGTCAATCCTACTGCAGCCTCCCCCTTCAGCTCGCAACGGATAGCTCCTGCTTGACCGTACAGTGACAGCTCCCCAAATCTCCCGACACACCCACACTTTTCTGTGCGGACAAATTCCACCATACGGTCACCCATCTCAACGCCGAAGTCGCAAGAAATCTCATGAAACTGTTTCTCATTCAAACATAATACAACTGAACATTCAGCCGTTGGATTGTTTATCATACGCACATTTACGGCACAACTCTCGAAGCAAATCAGATCGTCATTAAGTTCTCATTATCTCTATATCTACATCCATTAGATTTATGCCTGAAGTCGCTTTCGGTGTTTTTTTCTCCATTAAAAAAAATCAAAATTTGAAATTAAGTAGTCCACGTCATCTAGCAAAATGACCGAAAAACCCTTCTTGCCTGTCAATAAAATAGCCCCAGCATGTAATTCTTATAATATTATAGGGGTAAAAGAGTAATAAAGTAGGGGTGTGATCTGGATGCTACCACGGCAGAGATCCGCGTGAACATCATCTCGCCTTCTCCTAGTCGTCCGATTCTGCAATTTTTGACAGATCTCAGCCGTCAATTTGACTCTCAGCTAAAACACCTTTGGCTCGGTGTTTTCCCCTCCTTTATTTCGTTGCTTTATTTTAAAGCTCTTTATGTCTATAAAAATAATTATAATTATATTTATACATATAAATAAAATAAATTATTTATCCTCCATCCTTTCCCTGCCACCTTTTAAAATCGCCGCCCGTCCTCTCACCATCTCTCCATAACAAATCTCGTAAGTCAGAGTCCTCCACACTCTCTTTATACGCACTCCTCCATGGCAAGTTCAGATGAGGAGCACAAATCAACCTCCCGTGCCCCTTATCCGAAGGTAATCAAAAACCTATGTTTTGATTAATATCATCATCATTTATCACTATCAGATTTCAAAGACCCAATTTTTCAGTGGGATCTTACCTCCTCCTTCCCCTTCTATTTTTTCCTGCAGTGGATACTTGCAGCGATCTCTGCGCTTGGGGAGAAGGAGGGGTCCAATAAGTCCGATATTTCTAAGTTCATCGAGACTACTTACAGTGATGTCTTACCGGAGGGACATGAGGCGGCTCTTTCAGACGCGCTTTCGAAGATGAAGGAGAGCGGTGAGCTTCTGTTTGTTAAAAACAACTACTTGAAGCCGGATCCCAGCTCCACTCCTCGTCGTGGTCGCGGACGACCACCGAAGCCCAAACAGCCGTTGCCGCCTGGCGTTTCGCCGCCGCC